GGGGCCAGCAACCGCCGCCGCCGTGGGCCGCCGCGCCAAGGCCACGCCCACAGGCACGCCCACCCCGCCTCTCGGCCGCGCCAGGACCACGCCCACTCCACCTCGCAACCTCGCCAGAGCCACGCCCACGCCCACTCCCCTCCGGGCCTCGTCAGGGCCACGCCCACGCCCACCCCGCCTCCCGGCCCCGCCAGGACCACGCCCACACCACCTCCCTCCTGGGGCCCCCGGGGTGCCTGCTGCGTGGGGGGCTTAGTCCTTGGCGGTGGTTCGGGCTGCGGGGTCGCATGCGGAGTTGGTGGGAGCGCACGGCGGCCCATGGCTCCGTCCGGTCGTTTGTCCAGCACTGCTCTGACCGCTCGAGGGGTGGCATCTTTGAGTCCTCCCGGAGGTTGGAGACGGGTTATTCCTGTTGCACGAGGATGTTGCGCAAAGAGAGTTCGGGAAAACCTTCTCATGACTGGAGGGGATCGCCCATGCCAAGTATGGTTTAGCCATGCCAAGTATGGAAGCTCTTTGGCCAGGGATGTCTGTGAAGACTGCGTGGAGGTGGAGGGTAAAAGCGGGTTCACAATAAGACAACTGGTGGGAGGCGTAAGGGTCATGCTTTTCTGTAAATCAAAAACTATTCTAAAATTTAAAATTTATTTTTAAAAAGCCACTTGCATGCATTTGTATCAGACACATGCATATATGTCTTCTTATTTAATGCCCTTCAGCAATCATAATACAAAGAATTACTAAGACAGGGTTCCGCCACCCCCACCCTCATTGGGGATAATTAATTGAGGTACATGTGGCAGATGAGGAGAGGACCTAACTATGGGGCAGAAAGAACAAGAGAAGACAGTGGTCCCAGGTTACTCACTGTTGGTGGTGCAGAGCCCTGGGTGTGTGGCTACTGGTACAGGTCACTGAAGAGGGGAGTTTTCAGAACTTGGCCTTGACATAGGTTAGTAGGGCTTAGATACAGAGGAATTGAGAGAGGCCAGGTATTCATTTACATTCAACATTTATTAGGTGTGTCATATATACCAGAAACCAGGGTCAGATTTTGAAATAAAATGGTATTTTAATGAACACCGAGAAGGCATTTGATAAAATCTACATCTATTCCTGATTTTTAAAATCCTCGTTAAAATAGAAATAGACGTGTTGGGCTGGATTACAGATACCTCTGCCCTGTCCTGTGCAGGTCATGTGACATAGTTGAAAAAAATTCTGGCGGCTGATAATTCATGCTTTATTCTGATGTGAGCTCTGGCACCAGCGGTTCAGAGCCGCTGCTTTCCATACTGAAAGTACGCAATAGTGGCAACGAGCCAAGGGGTACATGGGCACACATGCACTCTAACTCTATTCTTAAGTAACTTGTTTACAACAGATGTGCTGAATCATACCCAGCCGGATATGAGGCAAGAGGGCCTGACCAAACTAACT